TTTTTTCTTGTTGGCCATTTATGGGGCCTTCCTTTGTAAGGTGTATACTTTCTTAGAACAACGATGCCCCTCATTTTTGGAATAAGGCAAGAGACACGTTCTCCGCTAGTTAGGGCACAAGAAGCCAATTTAGTCATCCAAGTCAAAAAGAGAGGAAGGGTTCAAGATCATGCATCATCACTTACCCTGTCTTCAAAGTAGACCCTTGTCAGTGACAAGCACATGCAAATACAACCTTAGCTCTCAACCTTCACGTACATGCATGAATTTTCACGAACAATGTCTTGTTTTATGTTTCTGCCTCACTACGAAGGACAATCAATGATCGTTTCAATAGGGATGAAAGTGTGTGCTCATTCTAGGTCATAGTTAGGTTAGAGTATTCATGGCTTTGGATATGTAAATATGTATACGACACAAGTAAAGTTGTTTATTTTATTCTATTAATTAATTCAATATATATTGGAAAGAGGTATCATACACAGGGATAATGATTTTTAAAATTAGGAGAAAGATTATACTTTATAACCTTTACTTTGAGTTTTGATTTAAGATTAAATATCTTTTGGGTCCTTATAAGTATCTAATATTTTTTATCTTTTTTTTTTAAGATATAAATGGATAAATTTAACTTTTTAATATAAGATTCGTCATTTACATTAATTATTAAGTTGATTGTCCTTATTTACTATGTTGGTGGTGGGTTTAAGTACCATTATCACCTTCTAAGATTCCAGTGTATCTTTAATATAAGTAACTCAAACGAGTTACTTTTTTAATGATAAAAAATAGAACTAATTTCCAAGAATCTTGCTCCCATAGTTTTACCTATTAAATACATAAGTCATACATAAATTAATATTAATATTATAATTAAATATAACTAATTTAGTGTTGATGACATGAAGTTGAAGCCAAACTACTCAAATTCAATAATAAGACTTGCATTTGCCATATTATGAATCACTCATTATCATCATCAACATTTGGGTGCAAAAACAATGTATCATAAGTAGAAAGATTCACCATGAAGTGGAAAACGAAAAAAAAATTTAGAAAGAAGAAATAATTAACGCTAAAAAAATTATTTAAGAATAAGAAAACGAAAAATACAAGAAGAAATAATTAGTACAGAAGAAAGAAGGATCCACGAATAAGAAAAAGAAAATAATGAAATTAGATCTATTTAAAAAGAAAGAAAGAAAAAATATATCCTAAAAATTTAATTAAATCATGTGATGTATAAACTAACAAAATTAGATAAAATCATCCCAAACACATAAATGATAAATATCAAGTTTTTTTTAATAGATCTAGATAGAACTCAAAAGTTATTTATTTGGTCCTTATAGTTACACTTTTACATGTACATTTTATGAGAATTGGTTAAAAAATATATTATTAAAGGAAAAGTAATAATATATTGGTCAAATCCACGTTCGAGTCAATATATAGAAACGCGCTCCCTTTCTTAAAGCTTTATTTATCTTATGCACTGTATTCATAGTTAAATTTTAAGAAATAATGAATATATATATTTAAACATTTTAATTTAAATATTAATTATCCTTTTATATATTTAATATAGTATTTTTGTTTTTGTTTTCATGATCTTCACTTTTGCACTTTGTTTTATAATTGGAGAATTAACAATTTTTACGATCTAGCGCATTAAATAATGTTGTTTGGGTAAAACTAAAATTTAATATTTTTACTTAATTTTCAGACTTAAAAACTTAATTAGCTTATATTGAAAAATAAAGTTAGTATTTGGAGATCAGATCACGTGTGGAGCACATGATTTGAAAATAGTTTTCCAAACAAAATGCTTTGAAAGCCGACAGACACATGTGCGTCCTAGTATGTCGTCGTAATTCAGCACTCCCACGTGCTTTGTTGGCATTTTTTTTATCATCACTCTTCGCTTAATTTAGTAACGTGTGAAAGAGGCTTACACTCTATTCCATATTCCTCTTACTTAATTTATAAATCACTTTTCAATTTCAAAGTTTTAAACTAAATATGTTCATATTATTAAAGTTGAGTTGGCCTTTGGATTAATGTTCATATTATAGATGTCCTCTTACGTATTTTATATATTATTTTTAAGTAATATGAAATTTTAAGTATAATCCATGAATTTATGTATATATGAAATATTATTTATGTTGGAGTTTGGTGGTTTTATTACGATTTGTTTTTCTTAAAATATATACAAAAGAGTAAAAGAAGAAATGTATGTATAAATTATTATTAATCTTTATTATAAATCATCACTAATCTTAATTCTAAATTATATTAAAAACAAAAAACTAAAAAATTCTCATAAATATAAGAATGAATTACACATTTTTTTATAGCTTTTTTAAAGCTTACAATTTTTATAATTCTCACGTTTTTAAAAATCTCTTGCAAGATACAAGGCAAAATATAAAAAACAAATTATAGAAATCACAATATAACATATAAAAGATGACGGTATAATATTTTTTTAGATAAATAAGAAATATAGTGTAGGGTAGAAAGAACAAGAACAAAATGTGCAATCTAAAAAAACTCAAAGAATTTAAATATAATTTTCTACAATTATAATTTCAACGGATTTTTTATTTAGAAATAAAATTAAGTTAAATGATTGTTTTAGGGACTAAAATGAAATATATAGTGTTTATTTTATTCTTACAAAAGCAATTTAAAAGTTAAAGCATGACTCCATATCGTGTTAAATTCATCTATCATTTTTTTTATCATAAAAATATAAATAAAGTGACGAATTTTAAATGTTTTATAAATATTTAATTTATCTAAAAGAAATTTCTTTACTCAAATATAAAAAAGAATAATGGTATTAGATAGTGGATTTAAATATAAATAAATTTAAATTTATTAAATATTATTTAAATATATTCTTTTAAAATATATTTATTTACAAAATTAAATATAATTATCAATAAATATAATTTAAGGATAACTTTTAAAAAGTATTTATTTATTATACGAAAACAAGAATATTAAACCAACTTAATTACTAATTTTAATCCACATGAAAGCATTTAATAATTTTTCTTATAATTGAGTATGGTATATTTCAAATGATGAAGTATATTAATTAATATTAGTTAAAAAAAATAGTTATTGATCTTATAATTAATTTTACATTTTGTTATATAAGTATTGACTTGTTTTGTTAACTTTTTTTAATTAGTACAATCAATATATATTTAGGATTTGATTATTCTAAAATGGGAATACATATTTAAAATATTTCAATAATAATTTTCAACTAAAAATTAATAATTTGAATTATAATTAATGAATTTTTATTTTTTACGTATTATTATGTGTGTGAAATTTTTTATTTTATTCTCTAATCTTATATATTTAAATTCGTCGTTACTGCTCTATGGTATATCTGTGTGTATAATTGACAGTGTATAAATATATTTGGTTTAAAAAATAAATTATATATATATATATAATTTATTTTCTACCACTTCTTTATTGTATTTTCTATATTTTCAACTCTTTTGACATGTTAATTTTGCCAACTATTCATGATAACATTTTTCTTTAAATTATTTCTTAGTAGTCTTTTCTAACATTCTTTCCATACGGTTGAATAATGCAACATTTAGTTTATATTTCATTATCGACACTTTGTCTCATCCAATTCCAAGGATCGTTCAAAAGATTTTTTATTTTTTTTTCTATAGTGATAATTACGTATCGAATATGCATTTTTATAATATTTTTCTCATTGAATATATTTTAACCTTAAAATATATTTATTATATAAGTGATTTGATATATACCATAAACTTAGAACCTAAGTTTTGACTCTAATTAAGCTTGATCTTTATTTATGTTAGTTATTATCATTAATTTAAAATTTCAAACTAAATTATAAGTTATTATCACGATATCTTTCTCTCTCATAGTTGCAATGGGTTGCTTTATATTTTTATCTTTGATCTTGTTGTCACATCTGACGAATTTCTTCACAACAATTTTTTTCCCACCGTTATGATTAAATTAATTACCTATGAAACACGAGTTTAAATCTAATTATAATCCCAACTAAATTTAATTGTTCAACTTTCAATGATGATTTTTCAAATTTATTCATGCACAACTTTCGATGATGATTCCCCATCAGATATTTGGTGAAGTATCTTTACTTCGTCCTTGTTGAAATTAAGATTACCCTTTTTAAATATGAAATTAATTTTGTGTATATTGTTGTTTTTTGTATGATTCATTTTTTATTAAAATAAAATTGTAGTCTTTATTTTTTGTTAAAAATTATTTTTTATGTGATAAATACTTATTAAAGTTAAGGGAACATGCTTTGGCCTTTGCTTATCATCATCATCATTAACATATAACATTGCAAAAGTAAAACTCGATCACTCTTAATCATCACTACATAACATTTATTATTTTTTATTTTTTGTTGATAGGTATCATATTGAAGTTTACCTAGTTTCTTGGTGGTTGTTGGGTCTTCAATCTCTATGGTGTCTAGTGTTCCCTATTGATTGACAAAATTTGGGATTATGGAACCAAATAACGAATCCAAAGCCATGAGAGAGATTGGTCAAGAGCTACCACTTTGACAAGGAACCAAGCAATCACAAAACATGGTAGAAACTAAAAAAACTTTAAAATTCAAAATGACACGGTACATGAAGATTCTTGTAACATAACGATTTTTGGTGTTTCAGGTCAAGCATTGTTCATACGAACTAAATCTGATCAGCATGCTCATAGGATTTTGAATAGAGGACTTTCTTACCAGATGTATCACCAATCACATTCTTTTCCTCGAGCATGGAATTAAATTAACCTAATTGCATATAAATTCTTGCGCTATGAATTGATTTTTATTAGTTCTAATTGGTTCCTTCAACTTCTCCTTAGGAGACAATCATTGGAAAGAACATTTTCTGAATGTCTATAGTATATGCTTTATATTTAATTAAAATTTGTGAGATTCTTCTTCAGGTCCAAAGGGGCTCCCATAGTGAGTTAGGGCTAGTGTTCTCCTCAAAGAAGTTCATCCCATTTTGATAGGCACCAGTGTGAGGAGGAGTTGAAATGAAATTGTCCACTGATTGTTGTGGTGATTCCTGTGGACTCTGTGCCATTTCCATGCATATTAGAGCCACAAGATTGGCTTGCTGAAGTTGCATGGTTACAAGCTCAGCTTGTGACTTGGCCAATTGTGCTTGAAGTTCATTCACCTGCTTCTGGAGCTGGCAAATTGCTCCTGCACAACCATAAACAGGGTCTCTTACTCTTGCACTAGCCTCGTAAACCATGCTGGTCACTGCATCAGCCCTCTGAGACTCTGGAAGTTCCTGAAAAGATATGCAACAAAAAGTTCAGATACATCAGACTTGGAATACAGGAAATTGTTAACTAAGCATAACTACATCAGACAAAAACATTTATTGGTTCAAAAATTAGGTATCTGTTGATTGCTTCTAGATCTCAAATTTCTTTTTAATGGTCAAGACTTGGAATACAGGAGATTGTTAATTAAGCATAACTACTTGAAGACCCCACCGTCAGGTATTTGTTAAGAGTAGGTGGTTGAAAATGCATTTGTTAAGTCATTATAACACTATGCTCCATTTCTTCAAATTAGTAAAAGGGCTTCATTGACCTTAGAACAAAAATAAAATTTAAAGTCAGGAGCTTCACATCATTAGCCTCTAGTACGGTTTACTTTTCAATTTTCACTGCTGAAGTAGGGAATAGTTTTTATAAAGATAAAATATGTTTACTTCTTGTAAAGTAATGTCTGTTTTTAATCTAATAATGATCTCTATTTCATATATAAAAAACTGAAGAAGCAAATTATACTTCACATATATTTCTGCAAAAGATGAAACAAAAGAAAACGATTATGTTTAGAGATCAAAAGTGAATAATTCTTTAGTTACAAGAATAAAAATACAATTAACCAACTGTTTATATAAGTACCCTTTGTCTGCACCTAAATATCAAGAATAAAAGTTAGGCACTTTTGTTCATTTGTGTGTGTGTGTGGTTGTCCTTGTGGAGAGGATGCTTTGTCGGGTGATACAGGGAACTGCAATTCAAGATGGACTCAGAAAATCTCGCTGGAACTCTGATCTCATAGATCAATGCTAAATGTTTGTGAAAGTTAATAGTTCATGAAGAAATTAACACAATATCTTGTACATATTCAAGATTCAGTTGTTTGTTTAGTTTTTTCAAGCAAAATTCCGCTGAAAACAGCACAAACATAATTTTGTTGGTGATGTAAGTAGTACCTGTAGGAACTTGATGATGTTGCTGGCACCAAATACACGGTGAGCAATGGTAAACTTGGCAGGTTCAGTGGGAGGGAAATAAGGTGCCAAAACACATTTCTCAGCACATCTTCTCCTCAAAATTTTGCATGCAGCACAAGGGCTCATGACAATTGTGGGAGGTGGAGGAGGTGGTGGTGAGGAAGAAGAGGAAGTGGGGGAGTGAGAAAGTGGGGCAGAGGAAGTAGGGGTATATGTGTCACTGCTCTCCATCTTAGTATATCTCAAATTGTTTGTTTCTTTGTGTTTGTTTGTTCGTTCTCTCTCTACTTGTGTTGTGTTTTAGGGACACAAAGAAAGAAAGAAGAAGAGGGTTTGTTTGTGAGTTTGTGGGGTTTGTTATTGGAAGCTGAATCCAAATCCTTTTTATAAAGAAAAGGAGAAGCTAGAAACATGTCATCACATGGAAAAGTGATGTCACAGTTGAATTTCGTTAACCAACGTGGCTGCTTGAGGTTTCCCACTTCGTGGTTAGGTGCTATAGATTTGGCTCATTGTATGAATGAAAACTCTTCCCCTTTGAAAATACCGTTTTCAAGACACTTTCTGATTTGTGATTTTCCCCGCTTTAACTTCAATCAAAAATTTTCAAAGCCATTTATAAAATTATTCGCCAAAATAAATTTCCTTCCCTATGGAACCAGCTTTTGCATTTTCCACGGAAAATCTTTTGTGGTTTGCCTAACTTGTCTAGGAATGTGGAAAGTGCTTTCCTCTGTACCTAGTTAGAAAAACAAACCTATGTATATATGTATCAGTAAACCTGTCCTCTTCACTCTCCACCTTTGTTGGACTTGAGATTTACACCCTCAAAACCCAAACTCAATCACATTATAATTTTGACCACTAAGCTCTCGGTTATCACACAATCTTTTTAAAGAGGGATTTATCATAACAATACTAATGAAATAGAGTCCAACGAACATAAATTATTGATTTCACTCTGTACTAAAACCTTAAAACATAGACTTATACTTGAATTTTCTAACATTCAAATATATCATTTTTCTTTCCAAAACTATTTTACGTGTATGACAAGAAGTTACGGGTATAAATTAGACACATGGACATTACTCCTACGTTTGTTTGTTTCCAATTTTTCCCTCGTATCCTTGAACCTTATCATAATGGACAACACAATGAAGCAGCCCCAGAGGACAAAGCAAAAACGATCATATTTTCTCACCATCTTAAAACTCTTTGGTTCAGCTGGTCACAATTTTCCTTCTTCACCATCTGAATACAGTGGACTATAACGTTTGGCTAACAATTATCTCGTTATGAAATTCACATATGTAATATTAATGCATCAGTGTTCCCAGTAGTGGGTAATGTAGATAGGTTATGCAAAGTGGCTTAATTGTGTGTACATATCAAGGGTTTGTTTGAGTTGATATCAGGATATGATATGTTGCTGCCATGATAGAGACAAGGGTATCTTTCTAGTTTCTACTCACTCAACTACTACCAAAGACTCTTCCTGTATCGGTAACTATATGATAAAATTATGTTGATTTGAGGTAATTATTCATTGATAATAGAACACAATCTATAACTATTTTTACCTTATAACTCTTTACATTACATTAACAAGACTACTAGAATGTGACAACACAAAAGCCAAAAGGGTCTCTGATAAAAGTTTTCCAATTAACCACTATGAACTTTCAAATATTGATAATTACTGTATAATAATACATGGCGTCAATACTCTATTCTACGATGCGTATCTACATCAAAGGAAACGAAGTTCTTAAATGGGCATTATTTAAAACTACGAGATTCTAACTTATCTTGAAGTGATTAATTTTTCCACGATTTGGAAAATTTAAATTGTAAGTTTCAACTTTGCGGTGGAAGCAGTTGGACCTTTGTAATTGATTTAATTTTTCTTCCTCAATTGCTGTGTGTAGCCCTTAAGAGTCTTTAGCGTGTGGACCTTAAGAAAAGAACATCAGCCACCATCACTTTATGGTTTACTCCCACTATAAACAATGTCTTTTTTTTCTTCTTCCCCACTCGAATTACACATGTTCATACTCATGTTCATATCAATCATGAAGTGGTGGTTCGTATCCACGCAAATCAAAATTCAATTGCGGGTCTCAAATAAATAAAAAAGACATTATTAGTTTTATGTAATTTTCATAACATGTGAATTTGGTAAGTAAATGAAAATTCCCTAACTAAATTGGAAAATGTTATAAATGAAATGTTGCATCCAAAACGAGTCAAAATTGGAAGTGCCTAGCCCCTACTTCCTACTTGGCTTTGGTCATCATCAACACTTATCCTGCCATGCAAGGAATGTTGTCTAAACGAAAAATCATATGTTGAATGGTCGTACCACAACTACATTACAACATGTGTCCTTCATCCTCATCGTTTGTTTTGCTTTTTATTTAGCAAATTCAACAATGAAAACCTGGTCTCAATGGCTTTGCTTGCTTAATAAATGAGAAGTCCTCTGGCTGGTCTTGGATGAAATGAGTGAAAAAAAAAACCATGTCGTGAGCCACAGGGTACAGAGATGGTGGGTGGGGTGTTGTGTTGTGCCATGAGGAGGACCGTGATTAGAAACATTCTCTAGACTTGACCAAAACTTCCACACCTTTGCTTCATAAACTTTGACCATTGACGCACTATTCAGTTGTGTACCGCATTGATGTTCCAGAATCATATTTTCCAAGAAAATTAAACATCTCCTCTATCTTTTATACAAAACATACCTTAATATTCATAAACATAATGAAACGAGAATAAATTTTTAATCTTACAATAAATATTAATATTTTATATAATTAAGATTAATTTAAATACGTGAGATATTATTTATTTTAAAATTTTATGTGTGATAATTTTATTCTTTAAATATATTTTTATAAATAAAAAAAATATAACTTATACAGCTGGAATTAGAACCGAAACAATTATAATATTCGATATTAGACTCGTGTTGAATAATTCGTAACTAAATATATATTAGAATTCCACGTCACTTAATTAAATTATGATATATACAGGTATCTTCCCTTATAAACCGATTGGTTTTATGAAAATGAATAACTTGAACAGTGCTTTATTAAAATATTTTTTTTCACGGAAATTTTTGGAACACATGAGCAAGGATATTAATTGATTACTGACATAATTTGGATCCTGTTTACCCGTGGAAGATAATGTGATGTCATTTTCGTATTAATAAAGTGCAGAAGATAAGGATATTCACATGCCTTGTCCATAGCACCAACACCACAAAATAATATAATATGTTCATATTTAAATATCATAAATGTTTTGGGATGGATATAATTGGATACTTTTGGATTAATGGATAGAAAAAAATGGTAGATCAACTCTTCAAATATTAAATGGTACCTATAAACAATGCAATGTTGCTGTTAGGTATTTAAAAAGAAAAGATGTTAATGTGTGTTGTTATAATGACTATTTATTATTAATATTTATATAATGAATTCATCCAAAATCATGACATTTTAATCTGTGTTTTTTTTCTTTCGAAGTTCATATTTTATTTTATCAATTTAGTTATCAAATTTAAAAAGAAAATGTATTTAGTCCTATTTAAAACTTTTATTTATTCATTTTCATATAAATAATCAGTAAGAATTAAGTATATATGCATGTTTTTAAGATCAAAGAATAAAGTTTATCGCTATAAATGTACACAATCTTGACCACTTTTAATTAGAAGGCCAGTGATTAAAACTTCTTTTTTCTTTAGATTATATCTCCCCATTATTTTGTTTCAAAATAATGTTAATGGTTGTTTTATTTATAAGCATTTATTGAAAAATAAATTTAAAAACAATTTTTTAAAATTTTATTATTTTTATTTTTCATATATCAAATTTTGAAAAATAGAAAAAAATGAATTATTAAAATTTGTATTATTTTATATAATTGAATAAGAATTAACTTATTAAATATTTTATTTTTTTATAAACTATATATTATTAACATTTTAAAATAATATCTTAAAAAATAATTAACTTATAATTAAATATTTAAATACAGTAATAATAATAATATTTAAAATAATAATATAAATATTCTATATCCATATAAAAATTATTAAATATTTAAATATATATATTTAAATATAAATATAATAAATTAAAATATATATTTAATTAATAATAATAATTAAAAATGTGTAAAATTATAAATATTAATTTATATATAATAAATATATTAAAATATTAAAATTAAATTATTATAAGTATAATTATTTTATTAAAAATACCGTAAATTAAGATAAACTAAATGTAAAAAAATTAAAATTTAATAAAAATTGAGATGAAGATTTAATTTTTATGTTTATATATATAAAAAAGGATTAAAAAGATCAGAAGTGAGATCCATGGTGGTATCTCCCATGTTGTCACTGTAGAACGAATTTGGCTTTTGCTTCCAAATTCACAAAGTTCCCAACTCAGACCGCGATCATCCTTTTGAATTCAGTAAACTATGCATTCTAAGTTGTTGAAAATGAAGATGAAGCTCAAAAGTTCCAATTACCACAAAATTTTAAAACAAAGTCATCTTGGAAAACTGAACCTTCATATAAAATTAGCGGCACCGTTTAACTTAATTCCTAATAGTACAAAAAAGTAAGTTAACTAACGTCAAGGACATGACTCGATTGTTTTTCATAATTTTAAAGTTCAAAACAACTTATTGTTTTAAATTCCAAATTAATTGTTGTTCTTACCTTATTCCAACAGTTTATAGAGATATGACGTGTGTCCTTCTAATTGTTTCAAATTTTAACGTTAATTTTCTGTGATTTGTGATATATATTTTTTATTACATGGTATGTATAGGTTAGTTCCTAGTTTGAAGTAGTAAGTGTATCCATATTTAATGGACTCATTTTGGGGGCCCAAAATTCACGTTTTACTATTACTTCATATTTCCAATAATAATAATCCTTTTAATAAATATTTATTTACTTGATTCTTTAATTTTAATAATATTTTTTAAAAATAATAATTTTTTAATAAATAGGTATTTTATTATAAAAAATATATATATTTTATTTATTTTTATAATATTTGTTTTTAATATTTTCAAGGTAACGATTATCCTTCGTCCTTTTAGTAATCCTAGTATTATCCCACCAATATTTTGTCTCTCCTATAAACATAAACAAAACATAATTTACAACTTCAAATCTTTTCTTCATTTCC